AAAAAAATGATCTTTTTTATGATGTCATATGACGTAACTCATTATGTACCACCTAATCTAATTTTTGACCCAAGTGCCACCAAAGAGAAGGATTAGAGAGCTTGAGATGAAAAAGGGGAGAGCGAGAGTATAGAAGAGGAAAAGTTGAAAGAAAGTGAAATTAATGAGAGATTAGGGTTTGAGTATTTTATTTATTTTTATTTTTAGGATTAGGGAATTAGAAATTTAACATTAATTTTTAAGTAATCTAATAAAAATGAATAAAAAAAAGTTCGGATCATTTCGGGTGACTCGACCCACCTGTGACCCAACTAATTTGAATTCAGATAATTTCAATTTGGGTTATTTTAGATTTCAAATTAATACATAGAACCCATGATTCTATTCATAACGGATGAATTGAGTCAAATTTTCAAATTAGATTCAATTTTGCCAAGTCTAGGTGCTTGCATTGATTTCAATGCCTATCAATGATCAATCCCAGCACCTGACAAAGGGGCAATTACATTCTGCCCAAAATTACACAAGAAATAAGGAAAGGAGTCTCTGTGGAGTTGGCCCAATTCTTTTGTGAAAATATGCTCCAACAGGTAAAAATTGAAGTTTTGTTCTATTTTTGAAAGTGGAACAACCCATCCTACATGCTTTAAGTAGTTTAGCACTATTTTTTTCAATTAGAACAATATATTTTAAATTGAGTTCACACAGCATGTAAACAATAATACTTAAGAGATAAAAAAGATTACTTTTTATTATATAACTTAAAATATTAAAAATAAAAAATTCATTAATTTTGAATGTATGGTTGATGTTGTCAATCGTCCCTTTAGGCAAATGTCCCAATAATTTGCATTCAAAGAAAACCCTTAATCAAGCATTTTTCTGCAAATTAACTAAATAAAAACAGTTAAGGCTACTGTTCTGCGCTTGTTAACATACAGCGTTGGGGAAGCCCTTATTCTGATAGAAGAATACATGAATACAAGGTCAATCTGCCCTATTCACACTTTCTTCCATCCACACACAGCTGGAGAGAAATATATAACCTAGCTAAAGGGAAACTATTATACATATGAGTTTCTTATTTTGTAATCTATGCATTAGATTACAAAATAAAAATTATTAGATTAGAAGTTACAAACCTAAATATTAAGAATTTATCACTTCTAATGGTTTAAATTATACACTTCAAATTAGACACAAACATATATATATATATATATATATATATTCTATCTCTGTTAGCTTCTTTCTAAACAACTTTAAAACAAGTAATTATCAAGCATGTGAAAATTAAGAGTAAAAAAGAACATCCCAAGAAAAAGAAGAAAAAGGGTGCAGTACGTTGCTCCCCCGGTTCATCCCCCCCTGTGTCCTTCTCCCTCACTGCCATGATCCTCCACCTAACACACCATTAGTCCAATATCCACTTGAATTTCCCTGTCTCTTATTATGATCATCAACTTCACTACTTGTACTCTTCATTTCTCCAAAAGGAAAGAAAACCCTCCCTGCATTCTCTTGGATAACACCCCTACTTCCAAACCCATCAATTGAAAATCTAAGTGTTGGTGGTTTATAGTCTTGCATGCTAAACCCAGATGAAAATAGTGTATTTGGATCTGGTATAGATCCCGGGACAAAGGAATTCAATCCCCCAGACGCCATTCCACTAGTCCTAAGCATTTCAAAAGCTGATGAACCATATGATATAGAAGAAGGGGAAGTGGAACTTTGGAAGTTATTTTCGATCTTGGGGACCTGAAGAAACTGAGATAAATTAACATGAGTACCCTCCTGCATAGCTGGGAAAGCCAAGTTAAGATCTTGTCCTTTATGGGGACTATTACTCATGCTCTTAGGGTTTTGAGAAGAAAACTGAGGATTGATATCTGGGACTTTGGTTGAAGAAGAAGAAGATGATGATGTTGAAGATCTCTTGTTCTTCCTAGAACCACCGCCAACGGGAACATTCCGGAGAGATCCACCTTCCGTCCAGTACCTTCTACAAGTCTTGCAGAAGTATCTGGGTTGGGTGAGACTGTAGTTGTTGTAGTAACAGAACTTGGTATTGGTTGAGTTACACCTAGGGCAATTCAACTGCTCCGGCGGCCTCGTCTTTTTCTCTAACGTTGGCCTAGGGCATGTATTGTTGGAAACCATCTCCTCCATGGGCTTCACCAAACTAGTATGATCTTGAAAACCCTGAAAAGGAGAAATACTAAGAATTTTATTAATCTCAAGCCCTCAAAATCCCCTGATTTCTTTGCAATAGGGATAAGCATCCTTAGTTATTTGTCAATACCAACAAAAAAAAAAAAATCCCTCAACTTAATCACAACAAAAGAAGAATTAAAAGAAAAGATATTAATGATATATAGAGCAAATAAAAAATCCTTCTTCAAAACCTTTATCAGTCTTCACAAAACACCAAAAGTTAAAAAGGGAGAATAAAAAGTGAGCTGCTTTTCATGAAATATTGATGTCTCAAAGAACAAGTTAAATTCTCTTTCTTTCTTTTTTATTTTCTAAAGTAACGATCCATGATTATATCATATGTATATGAATGAACCTCGCAGTAAACTCCATGAATATCAAAGAGAAATTATTAATTATAAAAGAGAAAGAAAATCTATATTTTGTCCAACAAAGCAAAAAGAAAAAGGAAAAGAAACTCTTGTCAGATCAATAAAAGCTGAATTAAATCGTAGTAAAAAAAAGGGGGAAAAATCCACCTACCTGTGACCATTTAGCAGCATCCATAGTAATAATTCAGAGAAGATCAGGAGAAGAAAAGTGATCAAGATCAGGAAAGGGAGGTGATGACTTTCAGGATGAGGAAGAGAGAGAATTGACAACCTATGCCTTTGTCTGCAGCTGCTCTAATTAGTGCAAGAAAGAATGTTTCAGATTGTTTTGTATGGTGCTTTATGTGTTGGCTTTCACTTTATTATCAATACGAAAGAAACTCTGGTGGGTTTGCTTTGACCAAAAAACATTGATATAAACTAAAGTTTATTACACATGTACTCTACTGTTTTGGTCTTATTTTATAATATGTAGGACAGAATTTTTGTCTGATTTTGATTTCATCCTGTTTCTGTTCACATTATTTGTTTTCTTTCAAAGTGAGTGGAATTATGAGTGTGTGGTGGGTTTCTCTTTTTTGACCTCATGATAATGGCAAAACTCTTTATTCTTTGTTCCCTCTCTTATCATTCAACCCTTTTTGAGTTAATTAGTGATAGTTTCTTGATCATTCCTATTTCCAATTAAGGGGAATATACAATTATATATTTTTAACATGCCTAAATCTACACGTTCAAAATATACCAATTTTGATTTTTAATTTATAAATTACAGTAACAAAGACTCATTTTGTTGCATAAAAAAAAGGATTCATTTTGTGTGTATATATCATTTTTCAAAATTATATATGTAATTACTAGACATCCAAATTATGTAATTTATCAAAAGGGATCCTATAAATATATGCAATCCAATTTATGTACTTTTTCATTCTCTTTAAAGTTAATTTCAAAGGGGTTCCTTAATTTGTAGGTTGCTTGCAGTTAAAGCAATTAGATATGCACATTCATTAGTGGATCTTGATTTCCTCATGAAGTCATTTTCCATTGTTTGGAAATGGTAGTATAAGTACATCAAGCAAACTCATCCACTTCCTACTTCAGTATATATGGAAAAAGAAAAAGTCCATCCACTTCCCATTTTTTCTTATTTCTCAACTACAGTATCTCTCTCTTTGTTTTTGTTGGCATGTATATATATATATATATATTCAAAATTGATCATATGGAAATGTTAGCAAATTAATACATTCTTCTAAGTTCCACCTAAACAACTTGATTGATATCATGTAATTGTAGGCTGTATATATATATATATATATTCAAAATTGATCATATGGAAATGTTAGCAAATTAATACATTCTTCTAAGTTCCACCTAAACAACTTGATTGATATCATGTAATTGTAGGCTGCCGGGCTAACGATTCAAAAAATTTAAATTAAAGAATTAATTCAATTTAAGTTTCAAAATTTGAGCTAAACTGATTAAGCCTAATGTTATATTAGTTAATTTGAACTTTATGAAAAAGAAAAGTGAAGTGAAGATCAATAATTTGTGAGCTTTAAATTAATTAATCCATGCTAATTATAAAAGGAAAAAAGGGGGAAGAAAAAATAAATAAATTATGGTCTCTGAAGCACTAAATTGAAAGAGGTTGGAGGGAAAAGGGGAAACAGATAGAGGGAAAAGAACAGCCAAAATTAATAATGCGTGATAGTTTGATTAATAGATAAAAAAATATTGTGTAATCTAAATTGTATCAAATTGTAAGATATTTGGACCGTGATACATTTACCCTTACTGTTTACACCCT